CCTTCGTAAAGGCGCAAGGTGGACTATAAGCCGAGTTAATTAACGTATTATAGCGAGTGTGCTGTAAGCCGGCTTTTTTGCCGGGTCGCAATAGAGAGAGAGAGAAAGCGCAGCGCCTTGAGACACCGGAGAAAAACCACATAATAATTAATTAATTACCAAATCATTAATCATTCGCCGCGAATTTCGTGACTGAACGCCGGACGGTTTTAAATGACCCGCGTCGCTCGACAGGCACTTTGTTCGCATAATCTGAATTTTCGCCGTCAGCTGATATAAATCTGACGAAGATTTAAGGAGAGAAATTCTTAAATCGATATCCGTGCCGAGATAATAAATTTCCAGTATAGGTCATTAAAAATTGCAATTTAACAAAGCATCTCTCCGCGATTCTTGTAGAAAATATTTCGTTTCCGATCGTGTCGAATATTTACATTACAACGTGAAAAATATTCGACACGCAACTTCGTGCTAAAGTCGCGCGAAAATATTCTTTTTACTTCGTCCCTATCGAGATGTAAATGCGAAATCCGACTTGGGCCGGCCGACGTGACGGCAATTACAGCGCGTTACACGCCCCGATATCATTCTTCGCGCTTCCATAAAATGCGACAGGGGTAACAAAAGCCGATCATAAAGCTGTCTACGCCGAAGGGGGTGGACGCACGCGCCTGTATGTGGAGAGGATGTAAGAGGGGAGGGAGGGGCCTCTGTACGCGCGTATGTAATACACGCCTCGCCGGGATGCTACTTTATCCGTGCGACGGTCGATAGACTATATACCGGGGCGTTAACACGATAACTCGCCGACCAGCTCGACGCGCGAGTGACGTCCCGAGATTATTCGAGATTCCGTTATAATGAGTTTGCGTATAGACGGCCCATCCCCCGCGGTGACTCCGCGGTGTGGCCCGCGAACTTTTGCCAAGTTACCGGTAAGTAATCCTCGCAAATTAATTACCGGTCTTTACCTCGTCCCCGGTTCCCGTAATCTTACGGCGGAATTCAAGTTTTAAATTAAATTCAGTCAGTCGTCCTTTTCACCCCTTCCTCCGGCGACTGATATAGTCAGCAGACACACGTGTGAGAGCGGCTCAAAGGAACGCACTTTTGTATTTACCGAATAAATCAATTATTTACCGCTGATTTTCATCTCCAGATAGCTTGAGAAAAATTTTACAAGGTAAAACTGTACACAATAGTTCTACAACGTCGGTTTTAATGCCGATTAAAGGCTGATTGTGCCGTAAGAAATTGACCGGTCGAATAATTTCTCAAGTGAACGATTTGCACAAATCAGCCTGATTTTCGTCAAATACGGGATAAAATTCGATCGAAACAGTATACTCGAGCGTAGTGTTCAAAAGCCGAGGTTTTGCGCGCAGCTTTGATGGCTGCCACATAGTTCAATGACGCTCGAATGACTGTTCTATGTACTCCACTCGGTCGGAAATGTGCGTAGAAACGCGCGCCGAGCACTCAACGAGTGCGCTAAAATATCCGCGCGACAACAGTGGAACAACGACGTTGACCCGCCCGCTCATATCTCGATTCGATTGGTCATCGTTGGCGTTTTAACGTTTCAACGGTAGGTACACCGTCGTCCTCGTGGACATTAATTACCGCCTTCTTTCTGCTTTTTGCTCCATAATTAATGACTCGTCGGGGGAGCCGTACGGAGCGCTAATCCAATATTTAACATCGGATACTCACACGCGAGCGATTAATCCCGCGGCGCGCGCGACGTCGCGACGCGCCGGCTGGAATATGGCCATGAATCAATCACGAGGGGATCCGTTATATATTTCGCGGCGATAAAGAATCCCCGCAATCGATACTTTCGGAATTATAGTTTTTTCATAGGACGGATATATTTTTGGATTTATAGGCGCGCGATAAATCCAACGGCCATAATCTCGACGATGCCCCTCGTCGTTGCCGCGCGAAAAACACGGAAAAAATTGTCCGTCGTATTTATTTATCCGGCCGAGCGCGCGGATGATAACGACGCCTGGCGTTTCATTCATTGTTAGCGACGCTGGAACTATGAAAACTTTGCATGCCGCCTTAACTACGACAATACTTTCCCGTTCTTCGTGCGAGCGCTCTCCCACGAGTGCGGCGGAACGGAAGAAATATGGAAATGGCCGGGAATCAAGGAAGGGTCACGACTCCCCAGCCTCCGAATTAGAGCGAAACTCTCTCATAAAAGGATTTCGATGTTGAGCGCGTCGCGTTATTACCCTTCACCTTGCAACGCGTCCGATCGTATCGATTACGTGATTTGGATATGCAACAATCCCGGATAATGATGTAAGCGATACGGCCGTATTCATTTCCGGCCATTTTCCTAAATATCACATTCTCGAGGAAAAATAGTCTACGTAATAGAATAGTTCGCGCATATATTTTCAAACACCGCGTATGTCGTGTAATTTGATTGTACTCTCCGGACTTTTTCGAATAAATTCTCCCTCTAAACGCGAAAATCGAATTTTTCGCCATTTTACGAGTAAAGTCATGAGTATGTCCGCGATATACAATTGCGGCGCAAAAAGAATTAAAATCTCGGTCAAATAACTTTCACGATACATATGTAGAAAATTTCTTACGGAGTGAATAAATTTAATTCGCGAAAGAATCGGTTGTCAGAAAGGATAATGTTCGGAATATATGCGCGATCTGTGCATTTGATGATGTCTCTTACCTTTGAATAAGAAAACATGTCGCTGTCAGTGAGTAAATCAACAAATTGATATATCGTACGCGGCATAATTGACATATCGTTGAACGTAAGGTAATTGATATGCAGTGGAGCACGAATGTTCCGAAAGTTACCGATATTTTTATGTTTGCACGAATAGCGCGTGTATGCTTATACATATGTTTGGACTTCGGTATTGATTTTTTCGAATATCGCGAACTGTGCCAACGAGACGCCGAATCGCTTGTTTTGCCTGTAACGATCACTCGAGCCGATTTTCCATATCGAATCGAATACCATTTCGCGCTGCCTTAATATCGCGTTCGTTCATTTCTCCGCGAAATCGCCCGTTCCGTTGGAAAATAGAGAGAAAAAGTGCATGAGCGTGTCGACCGCGAGAATAATGCAACGTATGGCCCGGGAAATTTTAATGCGTCTGGCAATGAGAGATACACACGAGAGGAGATCCCTGGCAACGGGATTATTTTATTCGCGATAGAACGCGTCGCGACGGAAAGTGAACGAAAGATTGATGTCAATACAAACATTATAACCGTGTTTGCCAGTCCTCGAGGAGCCCCGCCTACCTACGTAATCGCGTGCGTATGCAAAACACATGGCGAGCGCGCGTACGTGATGCAACCAGTGTACACGTACGACGCAGCGATGAACGATGAATTCGCGCAATCCCCCGCGACCGTAATTTTAACGACCGGCTTTCCACACTAATTTTGAGAGTCGACTTAGCAAACACGTCCACCAGAATTGGACATTTATTCGTGTGAATTTCGCGCGCAGTTTGTGGCCCGAGTTATCTTTTTCATCGATCTTAGTATTCCTTTTATTCATATCGTTAAGCTAAACGTGATTCGACAATCCGCGACGTTCCTGTAAAATTCACAAACAGCGCGACGGAGAAGTTGGTTGCGTCGCACGACTCGTCATCCGCGCGACTCCGCTAGCGAAGTGATTTTTCGACAAATCGAATCAAACTACCATGAATCACTTCATTCGCGTTGTTTCGCGTATGCCTCGTAGATACGTACCAGTTCGGTGTATCTTCCAAAGCGGGAAAGTAAACGTGCGAATGACTGCCACAAAGCGTCACGATGAACCGCGAATCAGTGCTTCACTCTGCCGAACTACACGGGGATTACTGTGAGCGACGACCGGTGGAATTGACAAACTAAAAAACAACTTACTGTTTTATTAGCACTGAGTTTCATTTTTCAAGAAAACAGCTTTAAAAGAAGTAGGAATTTCCCCGATAATTTGAACGTTGAAAATTCAATCGTTCGTTCCTCTGAGAAATTAAAAACACTTGAAAGAGCAAAATTTGAATTTCGAGGGACAACAAAGTTACGTGATAAAAGTTTACTTAGGCTTGCATGTTCAGATGCAATAAAACAGTTTAAAATATAACTTCTTGCGATCCAGTTTCCTTTTTTTTTTTTTTTTTTCAGAAATGCTCGAGTAAACAAACTTTTCTCACCAATCATTTATTAAAATAATTATACTATAGAATAAATGAAAGTGGTTCGTAATGAGGCGTTACTTGCGCAATATCCGAATAAAACTCTTAGGCAATTACGGCGCATATACGCATACTTACCGGGGGGATAACCGACGCAGAGAATATCCCGGATATCTTTGGCCTCCTCCTCTCCCCGGACTCGTCGCGGAGGGAAAGCCGGGCTCTCATTACGCCAACAAAATTCTCACATTTTCCGCTAAATGTTCCCTTCGTGTTAATGAACGACTTATCTTCATATTTGCTGTCACCACGTGCGCGAGCCCGGGAGCTCGTTTAGAGAAGTTGGGTTAGCCCGCTAACTGTAGCGGCCGCGGAATTAATTGAGACCTCTCCCCTAGCTCTATCTCGTTATACGAGTAAATTCTGAATTCTGGTAACTGCTCATCGGAGCCTGAAAACGGGACGAGTCTCGCGCGCGTAGCCATGAGAAATAATATCTAGGAGCGTAATTGCTTTTTAAAAGCCGTTCTGCGGATTTTGTTCCTCGTAATTGTTAATGACTTTTTTAATGGTGGAAAACGCTGTTTTTAAATCGGCCCGTTAAATCCCCGGTAGTAATAATCTCTTAACTGGATCACACGCGCGAATGTATAAATGCTCGCTCGTCCCGTCTAATGACTTCGCGCCCCCTTAGCGATTGAACCTTTAATAAGCGACGGCGAATCGAGCGATAAGGACGAGCAAACTCTGCGATGTAATCGAGAGAATCAGAGAAAGAGAGAAAGAGCGACGGGTGGAAGGTGGAATGAAAGAGAACGCCCGTTACAAATCCATGAGTCCTTTATTAAGAAATACTGCATCGTTCCGACAATCGCGAAATGGTAGTACGAATATAATCTTTAAGCTATTAGAGCTTCGACGCAGCCTCCTTCTCGAGTCGTCGACTTTGCTCGGAGCGGTGTTCCCGAGTTTTGACATTGGATTAAATGTCCTCAGCATAAAACTTTAATTACATTTGAATATAGGCGCGGGTATATTCGGTCATTCGACCGATCCGTTTCTACTCAGAGTCGGGCTCCCTTTCTTAATGAATAATTATTCATTCCGTGCGAGCGGAAGAATTTGTTTTGCCGGCATGCGGATAAGAAATGAATTCCGATACGAATAAATTTTGAGAGATAGGATGGATAAAAATAAAAATTCATTCCTCGGTAACGCGCGCGTCGAATAAATTTAGCCACGAATGGAGCTCTCTCGTTACTGACAAATAAATCTCCGAGTTTTATTCGGCAGTTTTAATTCGTTATTCGAGATAAAATTCGCCCGACCCTGGCGCCTTGCCACGATGGGAGTCGTCGACCGGCTGTTCGGATCGCCGCGAGACGCGATTTACGCTCGAGAGCTCGTGAAACTTGCGAACGAAGACGAAAAGAATGATCTTTCTTTCTCCCCCTTACCTTTCTTCCTCTTTTGCTTCTCGCGCGAATAACTCAAGGCTGTAAATATTCGGTTCGAGCAAGCAGCGGAGAGGACCGTACCGTGTCGCTCGATTCGTTATACAACGAATTATTCGGATAAACATTGCTCGAACGTAATTACATCCGCGGCGATACTATCCGTTCGGATTTTTACAGCCTCGCAGGCGAATATACACACGAAAGTACGACGGAACGAGCGACGCGCCTGAACAATCTCGGTGGCGCGACAAGGAGAAGACGGAGACACGACAGAGACATAGACAAAGTAGATGACACACCGTGGGCGCCCAGATATCGCTAGACTTGCGCCCTTTTTCTTAACTCCGCGGTGATCTCACCACCAGGGAGAAGACCGCGCGTCGTGGAGAGAGCGAGCCGACGCGGCCCGCGTGGTCGAGCATTCTCTCGTCACGCTCATCCTACCGGTCGTTCTGGACTTTGGCGCAGATCAGCAGGACCAGCAGCTGCAGCACGAGGTAGGGGCGCACGCTCGAATGTCCCGTGGACGCCAGCGCGTAAGCGTACGAAGAATAGCACTCCCTGCGGGTTTGAGAAACATCTTCAAATATTAAGTCTCGCTTCATTAAACGAGTCCAATCACATTAATTCCGAGCGACGTTCGCTGAACAATTGAGCCGAGGATACTTCGGGCGAGATAACATCGTCGACGCGTATTCGTTAGGTAGGTACGTTACATTCGGTTCGCCGCCGAAATCGGAAGCGGAAGTTTCGCGAACAGACGCGATTCGATGTCGCGTGACGAATAAAACAGGCTGATTCGCGACGAGAGAATGTGAAAAAAAAAGCCACACACATTTCTTATTCCATTAATAATATATCTTTCTGTTTTGTCCGCAATGCATAATGCATATCTTTCGCTTCGAGCGAACGTCGGAGGAAGAGAGAAAAATCCCCCTCGAAAATGGACGCGGCGACGTACGTTCCCATTATATTTGCGAGCGTTTGGTCGAGGTGTTATTACTTCGAAGCATTACGTCCGGCTGAAAATTCTCTTCGGATTCTTCGACGGTTCTTCCGAGACTTTGCAAGATTACACGACGCTTTCAAACTGCACTTTCACGCTGCTTAATTTACAAAGTCCATCCCGCCGCTTTTGGAATATTGAAAAGTGCGGTAATCCCTCCCTGTCTACCTACCGATATTTACCTGACGCGTATTCCACTGCGGCGTACCTCAGGGATTTCTTTCTGTTACTTCTCGGGGAATAAATAGCTATTTATCATTTATTTACAACGCATGCTTCGAAAGATGACAATGAGGTGACAATTTTTGAAATTAACACCCTCTATTTTTTCTACTACATCATACGCGAGGTTTTGTGAGCAAGCCGATTCTTTCTATGATTTCATACATTTTAGTGTCTTGCGATCCTAAAATCGCATAATCCGAATGTTGTCAATCGTGAGTTTTTCGTGGCAAACTCACTTTAGCCACCGCACCGCAATAGAAATTGTCCAAATTTTCCGCGTCGCTACTGTCTCTTCGCATCACCCTGCGCGTTCTTCGAATTCAAGCGCTTCACGCAACCAACGAGGGTTTACCGCACTCTCCACGGATTCCAAATTTTCCAACGCGCGACTCAAAAAGAAGTTCGTTCGTTTAATTCGATCGTAAACTTTTATTTATCTCGAACTACGAAATATAATTTTTTTTATCAAGGAGATACGGCGAGAAAGATAGTATGTTGTGAATTTCGCTTGAATTTTCGCAACTTCCATCGATGGAATTAGCTTCGGGCGATCTTTAACGCTCATGAAAATTGCTATCCGCGGTAATCTCTCGGTACCTGTAAGACTCGGGATTGAGCCTCGTCACGGTGCAGTAATGATGCAGCGCACAGACGCCGTTGAGGGGGCCGCCGCAGCCCCAGATTTGCTCCACCTCGCGCGACAGCGAGACCGTGTTAGCCGCGTAATACCTGCGGTGAAAAAGCCGCGCATTAGAAGAACTGCGAGATGTCTCGAAAAGGCTGGCCGAGTGTTATCGGATAATTGTCGCGGCGGGATTATTATTAACCCTCGGATATCGAGGCGTCTCACGCGAACATTTGCGTTGACATTGGCAGGCTTTCCGAGCGAACACCTTTCCCTGTAAGATCTCGTTCGTGATACCGGCGGGTGTAATGACGAGCGTTACTTGGTCGAGTATATAAAAGTTATATCGTTCGTACCTGACGAAGGCGTAATCGTTCGATTGCGTAAATCGTTCCGCCAGATCGTGAAGAGTGATCGCCGATATCTCCTGCAGCTCATAATAGTCGAGCAGCGAGTACTCGATCACCCAGTTCGCTTTGCCGATTGAATTTGCTTCAGGCAGATTAAGATAGTATTGCGTGTAATCCAGAATCTGCGCAACGTGCACAACACATTATACACACGTACAGGCGCGCACGTCGAATGCACGTACATTTCAGGGCGCGTCCCTTTGAAATCGGCACGTCGCGCAAATAGACCGTTACCGAGAACGCCGAGATATTACGTGTGTGCACGCCGTTACCACCACCAACGTACCTGTCCAGTGTTAGTTTCAAACTTGTACAGTCGCAAACCCGGGTTGTTGGGCCCGCCGACCGTGCTGGGCGTTACGCTGGGAGCCATCATTATCCAGGATACGGGCAGACCTGTTCAACGGGATGCGAGAGTATCGTTTCATTCGGAATAATTAATCACGCACTGTGTTAATAAGATTAAGCGACGGCGAGATGTCCACGGGAAACCGAAATTCAACGCGAATGGATTATTTGAAATTGCCAGGTCGGCGAGAAAGATCTTTCGCGGGATCAAACACTCTCTCGAGGTAACGTGTTTCTTCGTCGGGATAAGAAACTTTCTTCGGCTTTACCGGAAGAGCAATATCATTCACGGATAATACGGTTCAGAGGTGGAAGCTCGTCCGAAATTTTATTTGAGTAGCGCTTCCAGATTCGTCCGATCTGATTTCGAAGAAAAATGTCTGTCTTTATTCGTCGTGTGAAGTTCGAATGCTCCGCTGATCGCGCATGTACCTATGTCGCTGTAGATGACGCGAAACGTGTCCGAGTGCCAATGTCCGAAGAACTGTCCTCGGATGATGTCGGAGTAGAGTCGCACCATCTGCAGATACCTCGTGTTGTGCCTCTCGTTGAGCGCCGCGGCACCGCTTTCATGGTCGTCTATCCCTGGCGGTGTGTGGCCGACTATGTACACCTGGCCGTCATAGAGTGGAATAGGAATGAGCATCGAACATCGATATTTCGAAAACCTCCATGCCACTGTTGGCGCGCACAATGTTCATCTATTTCACTTTGATATCGATTCATGAAAACTCGATGTTTCTTCCGATACTATTCGTGTTTCTCCTACCGCGCGTAGATTAACCTTTGACCGTTCAATCGACGCGGGGGTGCGATATTTTCGTGCCGTAACAATTCGTTCGACGTTATCGACGTAAATATATTGTCACAGAATCATTCTTAGAGCAAATTTCAAATTTATTACGTGTTTTTTTTAACGATTTTTTCAAAAAACAGGCAACTTCGCGTTAGCCTAAGTATTTTAATGCTCGTTGATGTGGAGGAAACAGTTTGGTCACGAAAAATCAAGCGTGATAAAGAAAATAAATTGCAGAATAAAACAAACGATATTTTTATTAAACTGTTTTCGATGGCTCTATTTAGTAACCGTGAAATTTAATCCGATGTGTACAAATGCTCTTTTGTGCAATTTCATGCTTTTATCGTCAATCAAACCGTTAACAGCTTATACGTGTGGCACACAATGTCTGAATTTAAGTACGATATACCCGTAATTTTTGCACATTATCTATATATATGTGTGTGTAAGGAACGTGAAATGAAACTAACTATGTGCCACCTGGGCTATTGTATATTTTAAATATTTATCAATCATGTCGTTACAAAGTTGACGCAACTGTAGGAAGACATATATTGTTATTTCAATCGTAAACATCGCGATTACTAGGACGACAGTAGTAGCGTCTGCACTTTTACGTAACAGCGCCATCAGGAATCCCTTCGATCCGACATATGTAAATTTCCCGACGCTTTTAGGCGTCGTCTCGTGTCCCAAATAGCGATGCATATCCGAATGCATCAGAGAAACACACGCGCTATCTTTTCTATCGTAAGTTATTGGCACATAAAGACGGCCGAGATGTTGGTTCGGAGTACAGCCGATAGCGATCCACACTTTTATGGTTGAAGAGTAAGTTTGCACCGCTTTGATCGTAAAATCGGTCCGATCGATATTCGTGCGCAGATTGAAATGAAGCGATCTGTCAGTCACAGACCGCATTCCCAGTCCGTGACTATATCTTTACGGAGTTTTTATATACGAGACAGGCGCGGGAACAGCTCGAGGAAGAGGCGGTTGTTTTGGACTTTTATTTCCGAGCAGGGATATTTATCTTCCTAATTTATCGTTTTTTCTCCTATACACGCTTTAAAGTAATTTTTATCACGAGAAGATAAATTTTGCAAGTATTAGTTTGACTAAAATTTCATATAAAGATATATCGAATTGAAATCAGCTATAAGGCGTTTGCTAGATACGAGTGCGTGAAATGACGTATAATATAATTAAAATCCACACAAACAATGTGTATTTTAATTATACGTGTGAGGAAAATACCATTTAAATGATTTACGCACTTGACTATCGTGATTTCATTTCGATATCTCGGACGCGATAAGACGAGATAAATCCATAGAAGTAGATGGTCCCGCCGGCAAAAATTCGCCGGGATTATCAGCGGCGCCATTCTCATTCTCAACAGCAGCGCGGCCCTTAGTTACATCGCGTGACTGCGCCCTGGCTAAACAGACGCTCCAGGGTGAATCACGTACGCGGGCTGCGCGATGTGTCTCTCGGGACGCAGGAAGTCTCGTTAGCGTCGGCAAACCGGCCGGACGGTGTACACACGAGCGTTCGATCACGGTGTGGGTGGGTCGCGACGACGGAGGACTAGGTATCTAATCGGACACGTACGCGAAATTAGTCCCGCCGCGTGAGCGCGAATTCACCCAGAAGTCAACGTCGCGCTGATTGAAAAAGTACTCACCCGCTCGGTTACCAGGCTGGGTGATGCTCTCTCTTAATCCGGGAGTCGAGGGACGGGTACTTGCGAGCAAATCGACTGATCTGCCCGCGCGGCTTGATTTATGAGATCGATATTTCATGCTTATTGACTCCCTCCCAATCGACAAATGTGTGTGATAAGTTGATATCGAAAGCGGATACCAACCGCGGTTGGTATGTCGATGGTGTTCTTTGTGAGCATCCTATCGAATGCAGTCATTGGCAAAATATGACGGATTATAAGTCGCGTATAGAGAGAAAGGGTAGCAGAAATAACCGTGATAATTGATATATAGCTTATGTTGAATAGATAAGGGAAGACGGATATAGATTTCTCTGAAATCTCCTTTCTCCCGCCCCTTTCAAACGATTGAATGCGCGTCTGGAGTTACGTGGCTATCGCGCGCGCGCGTGTTGTTGCGGGAAAAGCTCTCTCTCTCTCTCTCTCTCCGCAAACAACCGGGGCCGCGAGATTGAAAAATATCGCGCGAAAAGCGCACAGACGTCGATTTTAAATTGCCGCCGAGGGCCTTTCGCCGAAGGCGCAGGCAGGAATCACGACCGCCATTCAAGGGAGGCACGAACGAATTGGACCGTGCTGCTACAATGGATAGCTGATTGGTCAGTTTTGCCGCTGACGCCCTTAAACGGCTCGTAATTTGTAATCGCATTATCCGGCCGGAACGAACGATCGATCGATTCTTGCATCTCTCCGCTACCTGCCCACTCGATATCGCTCGTTTCTACGGGAATGTCGAGAAGCTCCCCGAACCCGGTGCCGGATTATATCTGTCCACGGAAAATCGGATTTCTATCTCGGCCCAGCCTCGCTCTCTTTTTATCCCGGACACATAAGGACGTATAAGATTTTCCGAGAATTCTTCCGGAAATCCCCGGAGAGCGATCGAACGAGAGAGGGGAGAGGATACATTTTCCGATTGTTATTACCCTACTGGTCATTTCATCGCTCTGAAGAGGACTCACCTACCGTGCGATGGCTGCTTTGCTTCTACGCTCGTTGATCCGCGCTGAGAGCTTTTCGAAAGAGAATGAGCGGAGGAAGTAGAAGCCTTTAGGACTCTCCCGAGAGGAATATCGCGCGTAGCTATCAAGCAAAGAATACGGCTGGCTTATCGGTCACGAGATGCGTTTATTACCCGATCTTACTTCATCTTAAAAGACTCCTTGAAACAATTCGTTGCTACACTAAAAGCGTGTGTACAGAAATATGAAAAGCCCGATGTGGAAACCTCATTTAACTTCGGCCGTAATAATAGCAAGTTTTGCTCATCTAGAAAGATGGCTATCAATATATCCTTTCTATTTACAATCGGCTAGAAATACAACGCGATGAGAATAAATCTTTATTTTTCGCGCAAAGAGACTTAAGAAAGAAATGAAGCTTCCTACGGGGATATCGTAATTTTATCCGCGCCTAAATATCTTTCGTTTCTCCCCAGCCAGAATTACCATCGTAACTTCCGCTGCATCCCGACGTTTTCGTTAAACCCGGCGCGAGTAATTTCCGACCGTTGACCTGTACGGAATGAAAGATTTAAAAAACGTGGGATGGTTTCGCGCGCACGTAGCCGGAGGTACGTACCGAAATAACGTCACTCTTCATACACGCGAAACGGGGTTGCCTTTTCGAAACGTAGGTAGTGTCGTGGATAAACGCGACGGCTCTCGCTCGCCGGTTAATACGATCGGGATCAATGGCGGTGGCGTGCAACGGTTTAGGTATACGGACAGGGTGTGCTCTCTTCCGCGGCGTGTATGGAATACCAAGTCTCTCCATAATTTATCGTCGGTCGTGCCATCTCGGTCGCGTGAAGGATCTCCCTCGCGTATGTCGAACTCGTTCCGCACGCCCTGCGGCGTAATCGATAACCGATAACCTCGGCACCGCGATATTCGATATCGTGAAAGATTTTCCACTCGCTCGATACCGAGCGCGCAGCTAATTACCTCACTGATCGAAGATTCAGCTCCCCGAGAGCGTAATGGCCGCTACGATTTGTCATCGCGCTTTACGGAGAGGGACGATTGTACTCGAAGCGCGCCATTTGCATTCGAATCTTCGGCGCGATTATACAATTTGCTCCGTCTCCCCGCGAGACTATCCGTTTAACTCTGATTATAAATCTATGTTCGGTTTGTAAAGTCGACGGAGATAAGCCGATAAGCCGTCGAATAATGTAGCGCGGCGTGATCGAGAAAATCGCGGTGCTTTCCGACGCGAAATAATAATAACAAGTTTCGTATTTAGCCGCTTGTCTTCGTTCGCGAAGAAATTCGATTTTCAACCGATGGAAAATATTTCCGCGAAAATGAATCTGCCACTAGGTGCGTCAGACCGAGCGGACTCGTAATTTATAGAACGAGGAGGAACGAAAGCGATAACACACGGGCCGCTTGATAAATCATACATCTCATTGAGACCCGATTGACGGGATTTTATTCGCCTCGTGTGCGCACGTACGCCGAAAATTTATTTCATTAAAATCTATCTTCGTGACGAGCACATCTGCGTCGCGTTACCATTTTAATATGACGGGCAAAATGCCGTGTTTTATCCCGCACGAAAAATTGGCACGAGCGAGCACGAAAAAATTTGCGTCGTGATTAAATCTATTGCGTTCTAATGTTTAAAGAATCGGCCGGAAAAAGGGCGCGACCAAATCAAATGAACATCCAAGGTGATTTGTTGCGAAATAATTGGACGAGCGATCAATTACGTGTGTTTACGGAAGTAACGCTGCAAATCATCGTGATCGCATTAAGACGACAGATGTTTCGTTTAGATTTCTCGTGTTTTCCACTTGATACGCTTAAAGTTGAACGACACGCGAACGTCAGTTAACGGATGAGTTTTAAACCGTCCCTCTCAAACGGTCCCTGAATCTTTAATAATCGCTGCAAATTTAAATACATTTCCTCACATTGTCCCGTTCACGCGCGTTTAATGGACGGCAACACCGAATATCAATAATGTCTCATAAATATTCCGCGATCCTCTCGTTGCTCGCGGTACGAAACACGGTGTAAAAACTGAGGGAAAACGTATCACGTTGCGCCGGGACGAAAAGCTTATTATCCGGACAATAACGTCGCCTGAAATTTTCCCTGATCCCGCCAGTTCTTGGGTTTCTCACGCTTTTTGCGAAACAATAAGCTGCGCGCGAACCTGAGTAATATTCTTGCGCGGGTACCCTTCAATTACTCAACTTGTCGTGTGACACGCGAGGTAGCCTCTCTCCCGGGCTGTTTTATACCCGCATATTTACCCGGTGAAACATTCGCCATAATTCCGCGATGTTTGACGAGCCCGATAGTGCGGGCAATCGCGAGAATTCTCTCCTCGCAATATTCGACGCGATGAAAATGTTTATTCATCAGGAGGATCGTGTTAATATACGCGACAAATGTAGAGATCGCTTGCGACACCTTTATCGGACGGTTTAGTGTATTTCGTTAAGGATGGATATTAGTCGGATGAGGCGCGCAAGTTCTTATATTAATCTCGCGAGGAAATGTGCTCTCCAATAAGCGCGTAGGTGTCCCGTACGTTTTTAAGCCGAGTGAAAGTTTTGTATCGGATATTCGGCAAAGTTCCGCGTAAAACAAGCCGCCGCGGCGCTGATTAAAAATCTATTTGGAAATTTATTGGACGTGTAAAGAACAACTCGACCCGAGTTTCTTCCTGATAGGCAGCTAATTAACGCGTTCTCCCCGACAAAAATATCTCGGCATATATTTACGCTGTGTTTTTCTCTCCTTAACTGCGCTGCCGGACTTATCTTAACATCGATCGCAAATTTCATTCGGAGAAAGTATCGCTTCTAAGATCCGATGTCGTTAAACGATCGCTTGTGTTTCCCGACATATTGACAACCGCGAGGGAAAACGCATCGTGATTAAACGCGTTCGTATCGTGTCCGTAGCTTTATCGACGATTGACTTCGGGAAACTTAATTTATTTGCGGCCGAACGTTATTGCACTCGTTATAACGGCGAGCGATTCGTCGTTGCTCGCTATTATCGATCGGCAGGCGGGCGAAAATTGATAGCACGGACCGTAATGTTATCCCTCCTTTCGATCATTTCTAGACGTAATAGCTAATAATTATAATACCCTGCTGCACCTGTTACTACTGCTAATTTACTATGTGTGCCACACTTTACGTTGTAATTTTAACGATAGACTCGCGGAACGGTATAAAGTCAATTTTCCCCTTAGCGAGAAGGGAAGCCAGCGTTTACCGCAACTTTCCAATTTTCAGCGTAACGTATCTCCGTGACCGAAGCTCAAATTAAAATTCCATCGAAGTAACGTCTATATTTGACATTAACCGAAGAACATGTTGTCCATCGTGCTTCTCCGGGACCTCGTTGACGGAAAAAGAGAGGCTTCTTTCTCGATCGCTCGTAATTACAGACGCTGTGACATTTTCGCCGAGGAAAAATCGACTTTGAATTCATCGCGGCAAGTCTCGCGCACTAATTACCACAATTAACTCATCTCTCTCATTCTTCTCCGCTTACGAAGGCAGCGAGAGAAAAAGATATCACCTTTCGACGTCGCGTGCAATGAGGCACACGCATGGCGACCTTTATGCCAGCGTGGTCGATATTCGTTTTAAAACCGAATTACGTACGACGAAGATAGTCGAATACTTCCGCTTAATTTAGTTCCACGAGAGAGGAGCCCCACGAGATTCGCCGGCGATCGATATCGCTAGCAAAATAACGCGACACATGCATTAAAAGACGAAAATTCCATTATCCCGACTGGGGAGACTGTCCAAACAAGAATCGATTCAGAACGATCTTCTCTCTCTCTCTCTCGCAGGACTCGCCTCGCGGTGCTGCCTTATCCGGCAGAAATCGATAAACGATATACGGCGACGTCGGGAATTATTTCGTCGCTGGTACGGCACGATGAACGAAAAAGGGAAGAGAAAAGGAGAGAAAGAAAGAATGGGCAATAAGGTGTGTGACGCACAGCAAGGAGCAATAATATCTCAACCTACCGTCTCCTTCTTCTTCCGTGCATTCTCGAGCACCGACTGGAACCAGAACCATTGGCCGAAGGGATCCTGCGTGTTATCGGCCGTGTTGCGGTGCTGCATACGGCTGTCGAGCGGATTCAGCCACAAATTCGTATTAAGGAAGACGATCCGATACTTTTTCGAGCGTTGCTCGATCGTATAGTAGCCGGCTGCAACAAATTTTGAATAGCGCCATGCCGGCGGTAAAGCCCGGGTGAATTTATGCTCGCCAATAAGCTTACTTTGTGCCGTAACGTTTTCGAGGGGGGAAACCCGGTTGCATCGACCCGTTGCGCGCGTTTCGAAATCAAAGGCCGGCACGAGTCTCTCGATCATTTATGCAGCTTTCAGGACGGTAAGATCTCTTTCCGAGCGTTAATACGTTACGGTATAATATCGTAGGTACACACCAACTGAGCTATTCGATGCAATATTGTGAAACCGGCCGAATTTTATGCGAACTTAAAGATTGATTCTACGAGGAATATGTGTATTCGGAGCTGCGCATATTCCTCGACAACGAAGGAATTCTTATTTTCACATTCGTGTCGGAATTTATACGCGAATGAAATTGTATTCCTCGTTCGTTGTAGAATTTAACTACGAGCGTGCCAGAAATAAACAAAACATTATTACTACAAAAGGTTATTTGTCTTGGTTAATATTTCAAAGATTTCAGCGATTTACGCTCGATATCTCGTCTATGCATCATTCATAGACCGACATAATAATAACGTAATAATTGCAACGAGCGAACATTTAGCGCGAAGTGGCTTTTAAAGCCGAATGAAAATTTAACTGACGCGTAAGAGAGGAGAGGGAAAAAGGGAAATTTCTGAACACCGGTTGTAAACTACCGAGGTAGGGCGTTGCATCCCTGCGAAGTGGACCACGTTGAATTGCATCCCATATATCGAAGGCGCTTATTCGAAGTAACAGCTCGCGCAAAATATGTCTTCTCGATACGCGGAATAATATAGTAGCCGGTCACGTCGCTCGCATTTTTTGTCTGTGGGTTCATTCCAACATTGTTACGTACATACCCTTCTCGAAGGTGTCGAGCGCTTCCGGCGGTAGCCATTGCTGCCAAAGAATCGCGAGCTGCGTGTAACTCACGCCGATGTCCTCGTGGCCGAGCGCGGGGAACACGAATTGTCCCTTGAACGTGCGGGACAACAGATCGGTCAGATTCCGCAAACACTGCAGACGCTGCTCGCCGGTCAGGGTAACGGTGCGCGTCAGCGCGTCACTGCAACAAGTAGTTACAGCCTCGTTAGTCCTAGTTACACAGAACACTCGCGCCAGGGATTACAGCGTCGCCCCGGTGATTATCGCTGATAAATACGACGAGGAAACGTCGCGAAATAAGGACAACGCGCCTACATACGCGCTGATAATTGCCGTGTCAACGATAACTGATGGCTGATTAAGCTTCCGTCGCGTCGCCTCGGCGAAGATCGGGGAAAATTGCCGCGAGACTCCTCGCGTAAACTGCATAAACATTGCTGAAGAATGAGCGACTATTTTTCTTAAAGAAGCAATTTGCGTACTTTCGGAAGACGAAGGACCGTTTCCTCAGTCGCCGCCGGTTAAACCTTAGGATTTGTAAAACACATTTATATCGACTGAGATGTGTGCTTTCTTTTTTTTTTTTTTTTTATTCCCGCACGTCCTCGATAATTGCGCAGTGAAGCAACGCTAAGTGGCTAGAAAGTCATCGCTCGTGGACGCAATTTATACCGGTCAGCGAAACTGCACTCTTCGCTTCCGGTAATTAATTGGAAGTCGCGCGCCTCTAACTAGTAAATCGTTCGTAAGGTAAATTTATTTAGCGGTAATAAATTAAACACAACATAATACGCGCGTTATTAACTGAATTAACAAGTTACTGGCTCGCCGACTTTGTTTATAATTTTATCGATAATAAATGAAGCCTCGTGAATAAATTATAATACGTTAACGAATCATTTAGTAATCATTATTAACGACTGTGCGTCGTATTATTTGACTATTATAAAATTGCGAAATATATCTCCATGAATTTCAGATATTTAATATCTCTTTCCTCCTTTTTTTTCACTCGACATTTCATATATAGATTGGTAATGATAATGATAACAACTATAGGATATTTCTATAATGTCCTCTCAGTAAGAATAATAGCAACGGTAATAATAATAATCGTAATAACAACAAAATACATTCCATTGCGTTCATACTGCACACAAAAAGTTCCACACATGCTGTGTCATCTTTTGTGTCGGTAATTTAAATTGCGTCCCCAACAACCAACGCCGAATTCTGACGCAATGTTACGCATGTGGCGCGCTGCAAAGGCTTTTGTTCTACTCTTTTGTAAATTTTGTAAATTCAAAGCTGTTTGAGGCCGCTTGATAGAAAGCCGGACGAGCTTTTATCTTTCGACTTCAGATTCTTTTTCATTTTTGACATCCTGAGCTTTTATCTCACGATTGCATACCCGCTGTTCCCGCTTGAAAATATTTCGAATAATCGCGACTGGCCATACTTGCTGACAGCAATGTTGAAGATAATCCAAACAAACGGTCGAGACGTTTTTTCGCGCACCACAGGTGAGATTGCGTGACGAAGGAAAAAAATCTGAAATATCGAAAGACGTTGCAACGTCCGAGGAAGCCGCCGATTTTTTCGGACGAAACATATACAACGTATTTTCGAAGGTAGGTCGCACAATCGCGAGGGATTAAACAAATCCCTGCGAACCGAAAGAATTCACGTACAATAATAAACTGCGCGTGTACACGACAGAAAAAAGTTGACTCCGCTGTGTCATCGTTTGAAAAAACTTACTGACGAACTTACCCTCTTTAGTCTCTCTCACATTTTTTTAAATCCATTTATTCGTTCGAAATACGATGACGCACGGTAAAAGATATTTTGCGTTAAAAATCGGTTCTTGCTAAAATTTTTGTGTCAATGTAATCTCAAACTATTTTATAACATTTGCAAGTGTTAAAAATCACCCATTTTATACTTCAATGTTGATGAATTTTTGACGTAATATTACTTTTTGGCAAAAATTTGGGACACGTGTGTTAAATTGAATACAAACTTTTTTTGTGCGCCTGGACGAATGAGAAATAAAAAAAGAAGAGAAACGAAATAAAAAAAGAAGAGATAAGATGGACAAACAGTTCTCGCGTCCATAGATACTTTTCCGGGGACAATTAGAAGATTGTTCCCGAAACAATGAGATAAATCCGTTCGGCAGACGTACACGAGGGCAATCGAAAAATCGAAGCGTTCAGCTCACCCCGTCCACAGGACGAACTCGATACCCTCGCCGTGCTTCGATCTCATCGTCCGCGCCGCCGATTCGATGAGGGCCCAAGGCGAGTCGCAGCTATAGTCGCCAAACTCGCCCGCCAGTTTCCTGTCGAGCCTTATCCGTCCGCCGTCGACGCTGTTTCTCGTGTTCCAGCACACTGAAACACGCTTGGTAAACGAGGACTGTGCACGAGAGACCAGCGCAGCGATGAGCGACAAACGAATGTGGCGAAAAGGAAAAAGCGGTGATCGTGGGAAGCCGCGAGGTAGAATGTCCTCCGTACAGGAGCGCGAAGGGAGTCTACTCTCGTGCGGCCGTTATTCGAATCAACTTTTTACTCGCTTACTACAAATTCAAACGAATCCTCTTCAACGTCGCAAAATGGAATTAATGCTATTCACGGAAAGCAAATCAAGTTTCTTTCGAAGGAAAATTTTATCCGAATAAAGACTTTCCTCGAGGAAGAAGCGACGGAGGGATATTTCATTGTTTTCTTAGGATCGAAGATCCGATAATCCACGATCGATATAACATCCGATTTGTGAGAGACTAAAAATTCTAACGAGGGGATAAAACTTCGCCCGTTTAAATTCTCATACGGCCTCGTGTGAAAATAAAAGTCCATTCGTTATCAGGGAATAAATCTCTCGAAAGTTTTAATCGTTCTTTTTATCTCGTTATTCGAAATAAAACTTACCCGACTCTCTGTCGCGCGCTTAGACTCGCGTCGTCCGGCTAACGTCCGAATGACACGAGAGGGCGGCGGGGGAGGAGGGTAGGCGGTGCGGTAATTTAAGCGGCTGCTATTTCATGCAAGTCTCGTGCCAGCTAGACACGCCAGGTACTTTAAAACGATCGGTAAATACCAGCGCGGGAGGCCCGTAAATAGCGGTTTCGCCTTCCTGTTAGCGGAATGACAATAATTCGTTCATGCGATCGTCAGAAAATGAAATGTATAACGGAGGCGTGTATTGTACTTGTTAAAGCTCGGGGGGTTTCATCAATTCGGGGGCACGCGCGACGGGAAAAAAGCGAGTGAATTTTCCCTCCCTCGTGAAGTGAGATATTGACGATTTAACGTGGGGAAATCAGAGAGAACGATAGAAGTCATCAATCATTTCAATGCACATATGTTGGAAAAGGCAGCGTCGTGGAATAAACAATTTGTCTGCTGCGAAATCTTGTCCCGGGGAATTTTGGCGAAATTACTAATGAATTTGAGGAATTTTCGCTCGAGCAAGTTTATTGTATCTGGCAACACCACCGCGGCGCTGGTAACGTCGAGGCTCGCATCAGGAGGTCGATCACGTATTTCCCCCCTAAGAGCGAAAAAGTGAAAAGTGAAAACTTTCACGCGAATTTCGCAAAATCGCGATCACGTAACCTGTTTCGGGGCGAGACGATGAGATTTGATAGAATGAGGTTCGCGTGAGCGATTCGACGAGATTTGAAATTGGATTGGGATAAAATGTGAAAAAATTCGCTAACAATTACGCGATCGAGCTCCGAGAGCTCGACGTCGCACGTGACCCCTTCTCGCCACGTATGTCGGCCCGAAATTGAATAAAACCGGCCGTAAGTGTAGAGAGAAGCTGCGTACCCGAGTCGAAATTTCAAATTCTACGTTAGGCTTTTGAGTGGAGAAAACAATTGTAGCATCAAAGGAGCACAATAGAAGATCTTTGAACGCTTAATGTCGTAATGGGTGGAAACGCATCTTTCAGTGCAATTCGTTCTTCCGAATTACGAGCGAGTCACTCTTCTTGGACATGTTTCGCCACACATGTCGTTGGGATACGGACGGATAGGCCGTTTTGCGAAACCGCGAGAGCGGAATGCGTTTACTTACTGGTGGCGGCGTTTCCTTGCGTGGAATACCTCGGGTCGTAATGGATGTCGGTAATATGCCAGAAATAGCCTGCAACACGAAAACTTGATCTCGATCTCGCGGCGGTAAATAACACAGTGAATGTAACAGAGAACGCCAAACCGCATTAAGTACCGGAATCAATTCCAAAACGTTCAATATTAGACGAACCCACGTACCGGCACTTAATTACGAATCGAACGCGCTCTGCCGGCCTCGATTGAGAGTCGCGCGTATTTCGAAAAGAGCGACGCACGAACGACACACATGACGCAAAATAAAACTAGCCCGTCAACGCGAGCGAACTGACGGAAAAATGTCAAACACCATCGTGCTGTTTATTAAGAGGTTTAGTTTACACGTTCAAAAGCCCGCTGTTTTCATATTTTTTTAAATAAACAGATTTTTTGCCTCCCGTAATGTTTGCCCCAGAACCAACGCGTAAGCTTGTCGAAATAACCCAGGGATTAAAACCGGTAGAATATCGGTGAGTTCAATTTTCTCTACCGTAGGTATGGAAAAAATGTATCTCACGCCAATTGCTGCGCTTCCATTGTCGCAAATAAACATAGAGATCATTTTCGCGTGTCTACATAAAAAAAAGAAAAAAAGGAAAAATGTCAGTAGTGCGCGCGCGCACACAGCGAAACTCGTTTCGCAGATGGAAATTTCGCTGTCCCGGCGAAATTTTCGTCGCGCCACCGCGGAACGTTATGCAAGTTGTCTCGCGGAACTGAGACTGATTACCACCCCGAAAACAGTAATAGATACGGGACAATTTTACGAGGCGAAATTAAAGTATGTTATAGCTTTATCCGCGGGTGTTAGCGTGCTGTCCGTATATTTGCAAAATGGGAAAATTCTACGACCTCGAACGAAAATTTCACCACATTCCGTGTTAATCCGACCCTTTTTTTCTTACGCGCCGAAAACCCGATTCCGTCATATCGATTACGGCACTCGTAATAACCGATACAATTTTAATCTGTAATATCAATCTGTATAATAGTGTAATATTATGGAAAAAAATACGTGTAAGTGTGAGGGAGCAACGTTCGGGGCAAATATGAGCGATATAAAATGGTGTAAAAGTTTCGCCGATTCCACTCGTAATTTTAAGCGTTCCATTACATCCGCTGTTACGCACTTTAATTTTCCATTGTGTTTTCATCAGTTGTACGACCTTTTTTTACTTTCACCATTTCGCGATTGTTCTAATTCGCACAAATTAATTCCAAGTCGAATTAAAAGTAGTTGGTGAGTAAATTTTTACGAGAAAGAAAATGAATTCCTTCATTAGTGACGAATAAATTATTATCTTTATTCGTATCACAATATTTATCGCACGAAATCTTGTTTCTCCTCTGTCTCCAAATTAAATCGTGAGCGTGCTTACAGCAGAGAAATTGGGGCATTGATTATCGAATCCTTAATTAGAGAAAATTTCCTATATAATTAAGAAAGAACATTTTCGTCCCTTATTTTTCTCACAAACTCGAGTAAAACTTTTACTTAAATAAATGATCAGCAGAGTACGCTTCCGAGCGAATAAAAAATCACTCGTTATTCGAGAAAAACGATTGTATTACGACGTCATTCGAGATTGTCTCTGTTACTTTCAACAACTCTCGAATAATGTCCGATTGTGACGATCGTACCGTGTGTTTATCAACGCGTAATACTTGCCTATCTTCCCTTGCACCGCGCACAGCCACGAGAGCAGTATCAGGTAGTCACGTATCATCTTTCCGGAATGGCACCTGTAATTACAGATCGTTTGGGTGCTGCGCTAAAAGCAAGCGTGTGAACGATCGCGTTTTATTCGATATCTCCTCCCCCGCTAAGAAGTCGACTGCAGGATAGAGTATCCACGCCGAACGGTATATTCGCAGAGTTATAAAAGATGATAAGTATATATGCTCCCGCTGTGTGCGGTATTAAAGCGGAATAACGCTTCGCGCAGCTTAAACGCGATATGCAAATAGGTCGGCCATTAATGTCGGCGGCCGCGGATAATTTCGCGCTCACCCGTAAACGCACCGAATTTGGAATCGGATTTTTCTCCGCGTCTATTTCCAAGATACACGCGAATATCGATTCCGTGAAAATTCGCGATCGCGGCACCACCGTACGCGGGCTTTATTTACCCCGCCGCTCGATAATTTAAATCCGCGCACGCTTTTAAACTCGCCAACTTTTTGTCGATTTATCCATTCGATATGATGAAACTATCAGTGTTGCTACCTATCGCCTTGTGTCGAAAGACCGGTTAGTACGATTCATGATATATATACACACGTATGCAAATATAATCTCTCTCTCTCCCCATTTCTTTCTCTCTTGAAAAGCGGGAAGTGATCTCTACCGTGACGTAAGGCGTGTGTATTTTTCATATCTGATTTTGCTTCGTTAGCTTGTTATTCGCCCGATCACTCAGTGCCAGCACATATTGCGTATTATTTTATATTTACTTCATCATGTTTATTACCGGTTTCTCTGAATTATTTCTGCTTTTGCATTAGAGGGTTTTAATTATTTGTAATTATCGTAATCTTTTTTTCCTTTGCACCAACCATTGCCCGAAGGTAAAGCTCGTATTATCGATTTTGTACGCAGTCGGGAAATATTATAATTGTGCGCACGTGAACAAGAGTCTCACCTAAGAGCGAAAAGTTGAATTCAAAATAACACAACGGCGCATTAACACAATAATTCTTCAGTTTATTGCTTCTTTGAAGGGGCATAATACACGCGCGAGAGTTCCACTCACTCTCAGAAATATTAACAGAACCGAAAGTGTGAACGCAAAATACAATAATACTCGGTAAACTTTGTAAATACCGCACGCAGTTATTACAAGAAAGTATTTCAATAGATAAATTGCGACGAGCAATCGACAACGCGTAGCACGTCCCGTCACGAGCTATGCAGAAACATATGTCTGACCCGGCACAGCTCCCGAGGATGTTTCGCTTTCTTTTTTTGTCTCGCGTTACCACGTCACGAGAATAACAACACCATATAAGGAAATAATACGCTGTTGTCGGCTGATCGCGAGCGACAACACGTGAATCGCACGGGTGTGGCGATAATCCTCACCATTTTTCGACTGTTATCAATGTAAACTTGAAGCTCAACTACCGCAGAGCATTAATAAATTCTATTCGCGCGATGAATGCGAAATTTCACGCACACTTTATAGTTCGAATTGAAGAAAATATGATATTCCTCGAACGACTGTGCGTTACCTATATTTCAGGCATTGACATTTTGCGAAATTGGCAGGATCGAGTGTAAAATCAAATTCCATTTGCGTCAAACGTATGAAATTCATTATTCTAGGGAAAATATGTGACGTACCGCCGCGTATAATTAATGCAGTGCGCGTCGCACGGGTATTTCGTTCCCGGCGAAACGTAAATATTCAAGATAAATGACACCGCGGGAGGTGATAAACAAGCGCTAATTTAGGATTTAATTCGGTGAAAATTGTTCACTTGGTCGGCGTGCGAAGCGGCGCTTCACGTCTTACACAATCGCGATATTTATTTATGTGTTGGTTAAAACGTGACGAGCACGATTTTGGCAACCTTCTTCCTTTTCGATTTCTTTCGCATAATTGAGACTAATCACTAAATCCGTTTTCATTCATCGACTGTGAATTGCGCGAAACTAGCCTACGCGTATCGAACGGCCCGGGTCACGGTGAATTTCAATTTGCGAACGGCGCACGACAGGAATTACGAAGTGGTGGCTTTCGGTGGAACGCCTCTTTGTGCCGTAAGTTTACGGGCGGGACACGCGATTTTCTTGTTCGCGGGCTTGAATGAGGGGTTGACAACTTAATACGAGATAATAACCGGCGGTGTCGATACGCGGTCTCGTCTTCCATACGGATGACATTAACCGTCGCTCGCGCGCGGCATGAATAATTCGCGGCGCCGAAATGTCAATACACGGTATCGCGATGTCTCGCGGCATATAATTGCGAAGGAGTAATTGCGCTGACGATGATTCGGGTTATTATCTGGGGGATCGATTGTGTCCCGACGGAATTCGTTAACACACCCGGCGGAGAATTCTCTCCCATGCGTCAATTTGCGCAAATGACGGTAAAGCCGAGCGTTAAGTCGCGATGTACCGTCGGGGGGAACGACACCTGTTTGGTGGCCTATTGTTCTACCAGGCTGCTGTCGAAAATCTGACCAACTTCCTCAAGCTGTTTCCGAAAGTCTTTACAATCCCTTACAAAAATATCTCGCCGTTTTTTAACCATTGAGCGTACGTTCGGCTGGGTGAGCCCGTTCTTTTACACTGGAAAGCATTTTCCGTAATGGCGATTGGTTCTAGCGGATTGCGTATATTCGAATGGTATTAACGTAAAATTCAGTATTTTTCAGTAGTACAGTGCTGTGTCAGGTGTTTAAACGTTCAGCTACAAAACACTTGTTTCACACTCACATTTTGATACGAGCAAATGCACGACTTTTTAACCCTTTCGGACATCATTTCACAGCAATCTCTCTGCGCGCAGTTGTGACGCTTCCGTTTATACATTAAATTATACAATTTAATGTATAAACGGAAAATAAACAATTTACAAACAAATATACAAACGGAAATTATACAATTTAATGTATAACCTTACTATTTTGCAAATAACACGCAAATTTTTCAGTTATTAATTACATAAACCCCTGCCATCTTCAATCATTAAGAATTCCAAATTTTACGTGCTGTTTGCAAAACGATACTTTTTGTTCACCTCAATCCGTTTTGCGCCTTCACGAAGTTTGTTCTCGTGGGACACCTCTAATATTAAGCGTAAATGAAATATATTTGAACGCTATGCGTTCAGCGACTATCGTACACTGAAGTTGCTTTGTGACTGTAGAATCGCCTGTAGTGACGAAAGATTAACGTGCTTATTTCCGTATTAAAACGAAACTAAGTAAAAGAGGAAAGTATTAACATGTTGCCACTCATCAACTGAAAGTTGACGAGTATTGAAGGCGAGCGATCTCCTCAAAAATACACACTCGCGAGTGCTCGTCATATTTCTTCGCTTATAATAGACTGCGCGTGTCTGAGAGTGCTAAAAATGGACATAATAAAAATAATAAAACAGGTTAAAGACGGATCAAAAACAAGCTATGTAAGGAGCGAAATATTCTTGTAAAGAATCCCACCACACATTAGCTTATAATATTGGAAGTTACATTATTCGGGAGAAAAAAAAAGAGAAGATTGATTCTCTCAAGAGAAAAAAGGAAAAAATTGGACGTTATCTCTCGTGACTATCGTTTGTTTCTGAAGCGACCCGCATAGAAATTTCTCAGATATAGCATAGGTTCCGATTAGAATACCCGAAGTTCTCCCAAAGTAGGTTATCCCACTGCGAATCCTATTCTTACCCCAAACACGGGATGACGGCTCTTTTCCACGATGCTGATTGACTTGTGCGCGTTTGCTTAGTGCCGTATGTGACTATCACTCGACTACGCACGTGTCGAGTGACAGTTTGACTGAATATCAGATTAATAAATGGCGTTATATGTTTTATATTACTGTGCTTAATAGCGCGCGCGAATAGTTACGATACTTTGGATTCCGTGTCCAATAGGAGAATTTGTTTTTTAGGCCGGTATTCATGGTCGGATTTTACATTTAAGATTGTCTTAATTTGATCTTTAGATGCTGTATTATTAATTTTCACTTAATTTGGTAATACTTGGTCATTCTCAGAAGATACATTTTCCAGTTGATGCGTATTGATTGAGATGTATTGTGAAGCTCAGCAAAAAAATGTGTCGCAATCTATCAGTTTCAAACGTTCCAATTAGATCCCAATGAAATTTTCGACGCGGGGAGCTTCTTTTACATAGATCGGGGCAATATTTGAAGATGCATCCTTCACGTCGACTTTTCAGAGAAGGGATCCCTTTTCCCGATACCCTCGTAAACCCAGCGCGCAACTTGTAAAAAACTACGCTCGTAAATATTCATGACACGCACGACGTGTAATTACTTGCAATCGCGTGTCGCATCGCACAAATGGCTACGTCCGAGTTGCCATAAGAATTCCGCGTAATGTGTTAACGCGCTTCTGCGCGCAAGAATAACGAGCGCGTAAACGCTGTTGAGCGCGCATACGTCATATTGTGCGCGCCCGTAAAAATGGTTAAAATCTTAATTGTCGTGATTACGAGCGAATCAACTCGCAAATTTAACTCGGCCACTTTACACGTTTCTGATATCTGCATATTTACATAATTGATTTAGGAGTCTGTCGCATATATATGTCTTCTTTTTTCGATCTATCCTTCAACCCGGGCGACTGATTGACCGTGCTATCACGCGATCGATCCAGATATTTTATCGTATTATTATTCGCGAGTTTGCTTTTCCCCGTAATGTTTTGTATTGGATTCTTTTATATAAATTGCAGTATTTTAAGCCAGACTTTCGCTCTGCATCTTCCTTGTGTAAATTCCGCATCGTAACTGGTTATAGCAGCGCGTTGTCAACCGGATAGCATCAGCGGCGAACAAGATGACTGTAAACCTCCGCCCGCGTCTCGTTTATATTAGACCGTTGTGTTCGAATCCGCGCGCTGACCTCGATATCGCGTCATCCGAGTGACCTCGTGGTGCACGGATGGCGGAGTAATTATCGGCGCTCTTAGGTCGGTGACTAACGAACTGTCGTGCGGGTCTCGCGGAAATCCGTTTTCTCGATCGTCCGGCGCCTCTTTATCGGG